CTCTTTTTCTTATGAGCAGCAACAAGGGCCACTTATTGGGGCTTTAATGCCCAATGCACAGGGACCAAGAGCCATTGGATGTGTCAAACTCAGTGAGGAGCCAAAAACATAAATGAGTAAACACAGACCTCTTGTCAAGGACCTACCATGATCCACCTTTCTTTTTTTTTTTTAAATATGACTTATGTTTCAGTTTTCAGGAGCAATATGATTTAGTTACTTACCCGACAATGACATAGTCAAATAAAATATAAAATCCTTTTTATTTTCCAAAAAAGATACATGGGAACAAACTCAACTTATTGATTAAAATAAAAACTTTAAAAAGACACACTATTAGCATTTATTCCATTTGTCTTGATCTCTATCAGTGGTTTTTAATGTATTATTTTGTGGCAGAGCTGTCATTTCTAAAACGGGCCCAAAGCCTGGCCTGGCCTGGCCTGGCCCGGCCCGATTCGAATTTGGGCCGGGCTGTTATAATGTGCTGGCTGGGCGGATCAGGTCGTTGTTGGGCTTTTGATTGCATCAGAGGACGCGCGCGGCTGGTGAGCCAAATATATGGCATAGCTTTTCATACAATCCAATTATATGGCAACATGGCTTGCCATACATCACCAGCCGCACGCGGCCGTTTCACCGCAAGCTGACCGGCCTTGAAAGAGGTCAAATAAAGTTCAGTGACGTTTCAGATGGGACTACCGGTACTGCCAGGAAGAGAATCATTGCCTAAATGGACGTTCAGCTGCTGCATTCAGCGGATGGGCGCGGCCGACAACCCAAACAGGTGAGATCCCAAAGCAGACATGTCAGAGCAGGGTCCATGTCTGAATAATGCAGAATGCAGGCAGAAGCAGGGATTTAATGCACTTTGACAGCCATGAAAGGACAAACACCCCCTCAGCTCCGATCTTCTGCCCTTTTTATTCAGCCATGTGTCTGCCGACCGTTAATCACTATATAAGCAGTCAAAGCTTAATTAAAAATGTCGGGGTGGGGGGTGGAGTTCAAGTTCCGACCTGTAATTACTGTTAATTTGTCGGGTCGGGTGGGGTTCGGAAATTATGGCTACGGGCTGGGGCCGGGTCGGGTCAGATTTTTTGGGCCCGAATGCAACTCTGTTTTGTGGCAGTATATTTTAACAGAATCTGTCAAATCAGTTAAAAAAATCCAAATCCAAACATACAGCTCCTAACATTTTACTTTGAAATTCACAAAGAATATATAAAAAAGAAACAAATCTACATCTAGGAAGATTTTCTACAGCTCTTCATACTCATTATTTACAATCAGATCCCTGAAGTCTTTACTTGGCTGAAAGTTCATCAGCAACAGTTTGGTCAGTCCCATTTTTATCTTTTATCTTGTTTTTTCATGTAAAATCAAAGATTACCTGAAAATATAGTATTGATTCTTCACAGTTGTCTAACTGCCATGAGAAGTGTGGACAAAAAGTTTCTCACTGGGCTGCAGCTGTTGAGGACTAGTTGAAAACAAAAATATGCAAGAAAACACACATTTTCTTTTGGATTTACAGTAAACAACATACGTGTGCAAACTCCCAGCAAAATATGAATTAAAACTGATAAAGAGTCTGCATCCATATTAGTAAAAAAAGCAGTTTTGGTTCTTTTGAATTACAGAAACTAAATTGAGAAGCATTCAAGTTGGGTTTGAGACACCTGCAACAACTCTGTGACTGTCCATCCATCCATCCATTATCTTTCCCCACTTATTCCTTTTTGGATCATGGGGGTCACTGGTGTCCATATGCAGTTACCATGGGAGGCAGGGGACACCTGGACAGGTCTCCAGTCCATCACAGGGACACATAGAGACAAACAATCATTCACTCTCACTCACACCTAGAGACAATTTAGAGTTACCAATCAGCCTAACGTGCATGTTTTTGGTCTGTGGGAGGAAACCGGAGTACCTGGAGAAAACCCACACATGCACGGAGAGAACATGCAAACTACACCCTGAACAGTTCCCTGGCCGGGATTTGATCCGACAATCTTCTTGCTGAGAGGCAGCAGCTCTACCAACTGCGTCACCATGCAGGTGAAATGTTTCAAGACATTTCAGAAACTGCCTCGTGAACACCATTTGCTGCCAACAGCTCAGTGAAATGCAGGTGGGCCCAGTTCTAATACAGGTAGAATAGCTATATCACAGATCCATTACATTCATAACATGGGCCATGAGTCTTCAGCTCGACGTGCTGGAGACGAGAGTAACATCAGTCGTTTCCCATCAACATTTAGGAATATATTCTCAGGCTGACCAGTTTCAGAACAAACAAAAGATTGTCAAAAACAACATGGGCTGCTTTAATAGTTTATTTATAGTTCCTAATGTGGCACAGAGGTGGACCTCTGAGCAAAACAAGGAGAACACTAAGACTGCCCACATCTGGAAGAGAAATACAGATGTCACTGTAAGAACGGCTAAGGGGCGGCTGAATTATTGATGCCAGCTGGCCTCTCTGGTGGAGCGATATCACCGCATTAAGGCTGACATTTTCAGAAGGAATGTAGCCTTCTTGTTTGTTTGCTGCACAACTTCCTTCAGTGAGAAAAGGACAGGAAATGACTGCAAGGTGTTGTTGAATTGAGCAGCAAGAAAGTTTTTTTTTTTTGGCAAGAACAGGCCGATCCCTGCGATGCTGAATTCTGAACAGGCTCTACGCCTGCATGCACTTTAATAAACGGCCTTATTTTCTGTATTTAGGATTTGATCGCACACCTCCAGATAGAGGATGAACTGATGAATCCACTGTGGGAGAAAACACATAACTGGTTTTGTAACTTTTGGTCTCCTTATACTACAATCCACAACAAACATAAAGGCTTATCACGCACCAACTAGTTGTTGCCACTTTGGTCAAATCCTAAATTATGCAAGATGGCGCAGAGGATGTGTTGTGCATGACTCTCACCTAGGCCTGTCACGATAACAAATTTTGCTGGGCGATTACTCGTCTCAGAAATTATTGTGATAAACGATAATATTGTTTTAAATTTGACAATAATTGGTATTGTCAAATTTAAGAAGAAATATTCGTAAATTTTTGAGTGTAGAACCTTTTTTGACCACCGGATGGCAGTATAAGACTGTTCGAACAGAAGGATAGATAGTGAGGGAGCTAGCAGCGTCTCTTTAAGAAAAATGGGAGGGAGACCCCTTGACGTGATAAGGGCTGTCTCTCCTCTTTTTTAATTTATTTTTTGGTTCTCAAAACGACGGACACTCTGTGTGATTTGAGCTCTTTAGCATAGCATTTTCACACAAAGCTTTTAATAAAAAATATCAGTAAACAAGTTCTCAGCTTATTTTTTCAGAGAAAAACAACTTTTTACATGAAGGCACAGGTTTCAACCGTGAATTTTAGAGCTTCGACAAGACGGAGGTTTTTTCCCCGAGGTAGGCCTGTTAGCTTAGCTCGCAGCTTAGCTTCTCAGTTTAGCTGCTTTTAGCGATCCAAAAATGTGATTTTGAACAGTTAAAATGGATTTTAAAGGGAAAAGAGAAAGGGAGGGTTCGGTGAAGAGCATCGGAGTTGAGCCTTTTGTCATCCAGTGTCTTCAGTAGAAAGAGAGACACGAAGAAACAATAAAGCTGATAAATGAAAATCGGCTTTATTGATTATCATGCGTTTAATTGATTTATTGTTTATCGCGACAGGCCTATACTACCACATCAAATTTTAGCTCAATATCTGCAAAACTGATGGACTTAAAGACATTTCTGTGTTGGCTAATGTCATGTAGCTTTGGCGGCCATCTTCAATTGGATTGACTCTAAAAGTTGATCAGTTGTCGATGTACAACAAAAGATTGGTTCCTGAAAGTCTCCTTAAAGGCAGCCCAGAGGTTTATGACAGATGTTGCCAACAGACAAACATGACTCCAAAAAGTAATGCTGAAGTTTTTAAGCAAAGATCCTTCAGGTGTGGCATTTGAGCCTCAGTTATCACCACATCGGTTTTTTTTCTGCAACAACTATTAAAATAACTGAAATGAATCGTGTTTTCACGTGTTGAGTTGTGGTAGCCATCTTAGTTTGGCATCAAAAGCTATTTATTTGTAGATGTGCATCCAGTGATTATTTCCTGAAACATTCCTTATCATACAGCCTCAGGTTTGTGAGATATTTTGCTAACAGTAAAAGAGTTGACTCCAATCAGTTATTAGTGATTTTTTAAAAATCATATATTGTGCAGTCTGTTTCCTGCTCAGGCCTTGTTTTGTGGATAAGTCTCAGTTACTACCACCCCAAACCATAGACTAATATCTGTCAAGATGACTGACTTATAGCAATTTTGGTGTTTTTAAGATCAGTTGGTTGTGGCGGCCATCTTGTCACGGATTGGCCTCACAAGTTAATCAGCTGTAGACGCAAATCAATTCAACCTTTTCTGTAAGTTTGACTAAATTTCGCCAAGTGGTTCGTGAGATATTTTGCTAACAGACATGCATGCACACTGAACAGACACCTTCTCATTCATCTCCAACTCAGTCACAGTGTGCGCGCAACGCGTTGTGGATCGCGCTCATTTGGTTGTGAAAGTTTTTCCGTCCAAACAGAGAGAGAGGCAAGTTTGCAGCAACGAGCGAGCAGTTCCGCGCGTTGGGGAAATAATCCGCGTGTCGGTGTCATCTTTCTTATGCAAAGCAGCTGTTTGAAGGCGGATCTTTTTGGCAGGTTAGACTGGGACGGAGGCTCCGACCAGCTCAGACGAGCTCCACCACCACGCGCACCCACAGCCCGCCCGCCCCGGGAGGGAGCGAGGAGTGATCCTGTCTTTCTGGGACACACACCGGGATTCTTATCTGACTCGTTCCCAGTTTGTTGTTGGCGCATTGTTTCCGGCGCCTTTGCGCACAGTCTTGCGTAAAAAGGCTGGAAGAGAAAGACTTTTTTTTTTTTTAGTTCTTGTTCTTTTCAAGTTGTTTCCTCAAAGATCCGATCTTAAAAGAAGGGGATCAGTGGGAGCTGTTTGGAAACAAAACAAAGAAACTAATCAGAGGAGTTTCTTTCTTTCGTTCCTTTTGTTTTTTCTTTTTGGTTTACCCGCGTAGCTCCAAGCCAAAGTGAGCAGCATGGACCTGACAGTGCGCTTACAGCCAGGAAGCATTTGCGTTCCATCGCGGGATTTCTGCCTTTATTCAACTCCACAACTCTAAAGTGAAAGGGAGAAATGCGTTGCAACAAAATAACTGAGTAAGTTTTTCCCTTTCTAACTTCCAGCAGCAGCTTTCCGTCACTTTGTAATGCAAGAAACCTGCCTTTTTTTGTGGCTGAGGTACATTTTGGACTGTTTTTCTTCAAACTGAGCGGGGAGGATGTGTTCATTGATCCTCATCCCAGTGCTGCTGGTGCTGTGGAGCAGCGACACCTCAGCTATCAGCTCCATAGACCCTGACTGGTCAGGAGAGGGGAGATGTCAGCATATAAGCATCCCCCAATGTAAAGACATCGGCTACAACATGACCCGCATGCCAAACCTCATGGGACATGATGATCAAAAAGAGGCGGCCATAAAGCTGCAGGAATTTTCCACACTTATACAGTACGGGTGTCACAGTCACCTCAAGTTCTTCCTGTGTTCGCTGTACGCTCCAATGTGCACGGAGCAGGTGTCCAACCCTATCCCGGCATGCCGAGTCATGTGCGAGCAGGTCAAGCTGAAGTGCTCGCCCATTCTGGAGAGGTTCAACTTCCCCTGGCCTGACTCCCTAGACTGCTCCCGTCTTCCCACCAAAAATGACCCCAACAATCTGTGCATGGAGGCGCCCAACAACGGTTCTGATGAGCCCCCCAAAGTGTCCCACACCCAGCCTCCAGAGTTCAGGCCCCAGCGGCCCCTGAGTGGACACGACCTGCACCTTAAGGACAGCGGTGGCAGCAAACAGACCTGCAGCAACCCTGGCAAGTTCCACTTTGTGGAAAAAAGTGAGTCATGTGCCCCAAAGTGCTACTCAAAAGTGGATGTGTATTGGAGTCAGGGGGACAAGCAGTTCTCTCTGGTGTGGATGGCCATCTGGTCCATCCTCTGCTTTGTCTCGAGTGCCTTCACTGTTCTCACGTTCCTCATTGACCCACAGAGATTCAAATACCCTGAGCGGCCAATCATCTTTCTCTCCATGTCTTACTGTGTTTACTCTGTGGGCTATCTCGTTCGACTTTTGGTGGGAGCTGACAGAATAGCCTGTGACAGGGACAACGGGGTGCAGTATATCATCCAAGAAGGTCTGGAGAGCACGGGCTGCACCATTGTCTTCCTCATCCTGTATTACTTTGGCATGGCCAGCTCCCTCTGGTGGGTTATCCTGACCCTGACTTGGTTTCTAGCTGCAGGAAAGAAGTGGGGCCACGAGGCCATTGAGGCCAACAGCAGCTACTTTCACCTGGCCGCATGGGCCATCCCAGCTGTGAAGACCATCATGATCCTGGTGATGAGGAAGGTGGCCGGGGATGAGCTAACAGGCGTCTGCTACGTGGGAAGCATGGATGTGAAAGCGCTGACCGGCTTCGTGCTCATTCCCCTCTCCTGCTATCTCATCATCGGCACGTCGTTCCTGCTGTCTGGCTTTGTGGCCCTCTTCCACATAAGGAAGATAATGAAAACCGAGGGCGAGAACACGGACAAGCTAGAGAAGCTGATGGTCCGCATCGGCATCTTCTCGGTGCTCTACACCGTCCCAGCCACCTGCGTCATCGCCTGCTACTTCTATGAGAGGCTCAACATGGACTACTGGCGCATCCTCGCCGCGGAGCAGAAGTGCACGGAAAGCAGCGAGCCGGACTCGGACGAGTGCGTCATGAAGGCTTCGATCCCCGCCGTGGAGATCTTCATGGTGAAGATCTTCATGCTGCTGGTGGTCGGCATCACCAGCGGGATGTGGATCTGGACCTCAAAGACGCTGCAGTCGTGGCAGAACGTGTTCAGTAGGAAGCTGAAGAAGAGGACGAGGAGGAAGGCTGCCAGCGTCTTCACCAGCAGCAGGCCCTACATGAAACCTCACCCGTCTCTCAAAGGGCACAACACGAAGTACGAGCCCACCCGACCCCCTCCGACATGCGTATGAGCTGGTTCTCACTGTGTACGAACCCAAAAAAAGCAGGACTTCTGATCGATCAGAAAGCCATCAAAAAAGAATCAAATGCTTTATTTATGCATCGTGCACTGAGAACACACGCTTGGTTTTTGTGCTTTCAGCCATGTCATGCAACAAGAGCAGGTTTTGTTTGAGCAAACTCTGCTTCACTCTTGTTCTTTTTGAAAACATGGATTTTAAAAAATGGTATTGTTCCAGAGACAAAAACCTTTTGGATTTGCGTTACTTGAATTATGTGCAATAGTTGTTTTCCTTTCTGGCTGGTGACACATTTCAGACAATAGTCGGAGAGATGACTGTTGTTTCTGGGCTTTTTAATGGAAATCCAGGCGGTGTCATGTGTTTAAACTGGACTGAAGCAGCTGCTGAACGGCGCTGAGACCTTCCCAAATGCCCCGTTGTGAAGCGAGTCCATGTCATAAATTAATCAAGTACCCTTTATTGAAAAAAAAATGTTCACAGTGTTTCTGCTTTTTTCTTTTCTTTGCTATTTTATAGCACAAGGAAGTGTTTGTGTATGTTTCTAAAAAAAAAAAAAAGAGATTTTATAGAAAAAAAATAAACGTTCTAGTTTTAAATGTGTTGTCGCAAAGCTGGAATCTCTGGAGTGATTTGTCTTTACGCGTTTTTTTAGCTTCTCTTCTCGTTTTTTTTTTTTTTTTTCAGAACCATCACTTTTATTTTTGTTTCATGATTTAAAAACTAAATCAAATTTACTTTAATCGTGAAGAATATCTGGGGGAAACAAATGTGATAAAAAAAAAAAAATCAACAAAAATGATTTGCATTTCAGACAAGATCAGAAAGGGTGAGCTCTAAACGTCCCGTGTAACAAAAATAAAACTGAAAGTACAAAAACATAAGACGTTTTCTAAAAATGAAGACGTGTTAATTCTAAAAGTAATCAATAAAGTCAAATAGCTGATGTTATTTGCAAAATTATAAATGGAAAAGTTGTATTTTTTATTCATTTGAAAAAAAAATTACAGAAAAAAGGGTAATTCACGGCTGTACATTTAAATATAGAACAAGTTTTTACATATTTAATTTGTGTTTATTTTAAACATTTATTTACTGTAAGTTCACATGAAGTGAAGGGATGTTTTTAGTGCTAACAGTCAAAAAAGAAAACATTTTATCCCAATGAAATCCTTGCTTTATCCTTCTGTTTTAGTGTTATTTAAATCTTTTTCAATGTTCGTTTTAAACTAATAACTTCCTTTATGAGAGTCCTTGTAGAGCGTTGGCCTTGTTGTAGTTTTTCATCTGATCTTAACACTTGTTCTTCGTTTCTGGCTGTGCTGTTGGTCCATACTGTGAGGTGTTTATCCAATAATCCAGCTCACTCAGGACTGGATTAGACCATTTCAATGGTTCACCCAAGAAGAGTACACAAAATACAGAATATCTGTCGGTCGACTCAGCAGCAGCAGTTTTAGGAGAACTTGGATTATACTTATTTCTTTAAACAACAACAGCAAATTTTACACATGGTCTGACATCAGGAGATTTCTGTGTTAAATAATTCTTACATTATTTTTATTTTAAGGAGCACAAGTCTCGCTTTGAATCTAGGAGAGCAGTTGATTTTTGTATTGACAGTGCTGTGCCAAAGGCCTAATTCAGATGTCAACCCCTAAACAGCACGCACTGAAAAGTTGTCAGAATCACCAAGGATGAAAAAAAAAATAGGGAATTCAATTTTTTTTTTTTATTGTTCCAATAAAAGGAAGAGGGGCAGGAAAAAAAAAAAGTTTAAACACCTTATGTTTGGAAGTTCTCTTATGGTTTATTGAAGTTTCTGAAAAGTAGCATTTCTTCATCCCTGCGGCCATTCGAGTTGCAACGCCGACCCAACCAGTTTTAACAGTCACAAAGCGCATGACTCAACCTCTATGTGGCTGAATCAAAGTCAGCCTGTGTCTATTGATACTCTGAGTTGCAACAAAAAAAGGTGTGAGCTCTCTGAGAGCCTCAACAGAGGCCACCTGGATAACAGCCCCCGAGGTGTGCAGCGAGGCTGTAAATATAAATGACAGTTACCACCCCTCTCCAGGCCTTATCTTCGTCTCCTTTCTTCAAAGGAGAAAAAGGATCCTGCTCAGAGCAAGCACATATACTACTGCTGGGAAGTCTCTTTAGGTGGTCAATTGTGCTCAGACTTTAAAAAAAAAAGATCTTATTCCATCAGATTACTTGTTTTCAAGTGTTTTATAGCAGATTAGAAGAAAAACGTCTCGTGTCGATGAGTGTTAAATGTTTCCTTGCCAAGGACTCATCTTTTGATGGGATTATCCTATTTCAACAATGTGACTGTATGCTGATGGATCAATGTAAACCAGCATATCTGGAAATAAAATAATAATTGGCAGCATATGCTAAACAGAAACCACAACCAGCTTCAGGTTATGATGTGAGGCTTTTGCTTGTAAAGAACATTAAAACTCTCATCATTGATTTAAGCTGATGTTTTAGCTTTTCACTTTCTAACTAATCTCAAGTATAGAGCAGTGTACAAAGATAAAACTATTGCAAAACAATTAAAGCACCTCTGCATGCCTTAAAGCATCATTATGATCAGTCAATACTTTGTTTCTATAATAATAATAATAATAAACATCTCTTAACTGTATGTGTTCTCAGTGGTTTACGCAGGGATTTGATGGGACCAATGTCCTTCTGTGTTCTTTATCTGCTTTGCCACCATCATAAAAGTCTGCAGCTCTGTGGCATAAATCAAGCTGCTGGGATGACTGACGGCTGAGGCAACTCGTCTTTGATCACACTTGGTGGAGACGCCCCATGTCCTCATCCTCAGCTGCTCCTGCAGCACCTGTTTACTAGTTGAGGCTTGTCTGCTCTGAAGGCGCTGCTCTGTCTCTCAAAATCATCAGCTCCAACATGACGCACACGTGCACACTCGACGCATACACAAAGGAATTTGTTCACAGCGTTCGGGGGAGTTTGGGTCGTCTCTGAAATGTATACTTTCAGTGACCCTCAGTGATTCTCGCAGCACTGTTCCTTAAATTGTCAGCGGCTACAAAAGAAAAGCTCGTCTTCTGTGGGACCTCTGACTCATCTGGCTGTGATGATGAAGAAGTCAGAGCACCAAAACTAATGAATCAGCCTGTTCTTAAATAAATAACTTTGAACTAAAGAAGTGGTGTTTTCTGTGAAAATGCAGTGAAGTGCTGAATGACTTGAAATTTGATGAAGAAGCTGAAAATGAGTTCAAGCTAAAAGAAGCATAGTATTATTTAAAAGAAGGAATACACTCAAAAGCAAAATGCTAGCTAGAAAAATAAAATGGGCAAAACGTCAGCGAAAAGAAACAGCTAGCCAAAACTCAAAGTAGCAGAATGGAAGATAAAAGTAGCATAAGCAGATATAAACGTAGCAGAAGGCTAGCTATAAGCTAAAAAAATTGCAGAATTGAAGCTACAGCTCAAACAAAGCAGGTTTTTTTTCCATCTTTCGGCTGCTCCCTTCAAGCTTCACCACAGCGAACTAACTCACATGAAGATTTGGCAGTTATTTTTATGCCGGATGCCCTTCCTGATGCAACCACAGACCACTGAGCTACCACAGCCCTCTGTGTGGAGCAGAGAGCTGCTATCTAGTGCGTCCAGGAGAGCAGATGGTGGGGGTTAAGGGCCTTGCTCAAGGGCCCAGAGTGGGGCAAATGAGGGTGGAGACAGGTGTGCGTGTTTCACCTTTCTCATCCACATTTTGATGTTGTCGGTCCAGGGGGTCGAACCAGCAACCTTCTGATCACATGCTCACCTTCTCTAACCTCTGCACCACCACTCCCCTTACAGCTCCAAGTTGCATAACTGTAGCTAAAAGCCAAAAGTAGCTATGGCTACACGAAACCTAAATGTTGCAGGACAGTAACCACAGTAACAAAAGCCTTGTTCAAAGTTAAAAAATTAAAAAATATTTTTTTAATAAAGTAGTGAGCTCTCACTGTATTTATAAAGAAAACATTTGTAAAAAAAATTTGATAAGTGTTAAAGCAAAAGTCATGGCACCCATCTCCTGAATAAATAGTATTGTATGAATGGCCAGTCGAAGCAAATGGCCACTTGTCCTAAACCTGGTTCTGCTAAAAGTTTCTTCCACATGAGGGAGTTTTTCCTTCCCACTGTCGCCTTCATGCTTGCTCAAGATGACAGTTCTGCGACGGAGTTAAATTGAAAGCAGTCTGCTCCTCGGATAAATAATGCTAAATTATTATTTTTATGTATGAATGTTTCTGTTCAGCGACCTGAGATGACTTCTGTTGTGACTTGGTGCTACAGTATATAAATAAACTGAATTGAATTGATGTTTTGGTTTTTTTTTTTAGCAGAAGTTGGTACGCAAACATTTTCTACAAAGTCAAAAAATAAATAAAATCAGGAAAACGCTGGTCGCAAAATAAGAGGACTAAAGTTTCACAGTAACATTTTATCATAGAAAGCAAAGAGCATGTTCTCCCATATCCAACGTTCTTCTGGTTCATAAATCCAGAGTTCTGTGGTTTATGGTTAGGATGTGGGGGTGGGCTTCATGCTCTGTATTTATACACAGAATAGAATCTAGGACAAAGTGTGCAATGTATATGCATGATCTGCAACACACACACCCACACACACACACATGGGTCTGCTGTGGTGATAATTGTTCCCAGTCGCTGCTAAAGGTGAGGATAATTACATAAACCCCAGCAACAATGTGTTTCTCTTTGCCTTTTTTCACATGCATAATGAAGTGGCTCACAGGCCCTCTCTGCTGATCAAACAAGTGTTTGATAGTGGCTTTGGTCTGAAAGAAGCCTGAATATGTTTATTTGCATGTGGAGGAGTGAGTGACTTTGAGGTGGAGATCAGGCAGATTAGTGTTAACTGACAGAGACCTGTGCAAACAGACACTCCCCCCACATACAAGCAGGGTTAGCAGCGCACTTCCTCCGAGGACCAAAGTACGGAGCCTTGTCCTTACGAGACTTGATTCATTTATTTTTTTCGTTGGGTTTGGTTTTGGCTTGTTTGCACGTTGCAAGTGAGAGCTTGAACTCCAATAAATGGTGAGAAATTCAACAGTTCTCTTAGGCCATCTAATACTTTGGCATTAGATTTAAAACTTTCACAACTGAGTGGTTCATCTGACTTCGCCTGTCGGTCCTGCTGAACGTTACTCGGTTAGTCCAACCTAAGGTCTTTCAAATGGCTATCTTCAACAAGTAAAATAATCATTATTTACAACTTTTCCTCAGAATCATGGCCAGAATATTCTATTAAGCCATAAATTAAGTAAACCTTCCACTGCATTGTTGGATATTTTAAGGAAGAGAGGGACAAAATGGAAGCAGAAGACAATTGCTTTCTACAATGGAATGTTTGCATTTTAGATTTTCACGCACAGCTTTTGATATTCATCTTTGTTTTTAATATAATAGTGCATGAAGCAACGTCATATACGAGACTCTATAAACCTAATTCAAGATGTATTTATT